TTTATTTTTTTTTCCTTCAAAAGTTAGTTTGAGGATTCGTACTTTGCAGTAAAGAGTTTAATTTTCACTCGTGCCTTGACTTTAGCCACCAATCAGATGACCTCCTTCTAGTAAAGTCTACTTGCTTAAAGTCTATTGTGCCCTGCCGGTCCCTAAACCCCAGTGCTTTGAAAAACTGCGCCATCATCCTGAACTATCGGGTGAAGCCCTTTAAAGAACATTATCAAGTGTTCGGCAGTTTCTTCTTCCTCTCCACACGCACTGCATACTGTGGCTACCCCTTCGTATTTGGCCCGATATGTCTTGGTTCGCAACACTCCCGTCCTGGCCTCAAACAGTAGAGACCTACCTCGAGTATTATCGTAGATCCTTTCCTTGGCAGTTTCCTGCTTAAGAGTTCGATAGATCTCCAGTGCGGAATTATTAATCATGCCTTTTCTCCACATGTCAGTCTCCGTTTCCTTCACTTTCTTCTTAACCGATAGTTCTTTTTGGTTTGGCCACCTGCTGTTTTCTAAGTATTTACCAGTCAACTTCCTGGTTCGCTTCCTCCATTTTGTATCGACATTCTTCATGTACAAGTAGCTGAATACCTTCCTAGCCCAACGCTCCTCCTTCATTGCTCTCAATCGCTTCTCAAATTTTATGTTGCTGCTAGCTTCCCTGCCCTCAAATGATGTCCATCCCATATCACCTTGTACTCCCTGATTTGGTGTATTCCCGTGAGCTCCTAAAGCAAGCCTACCTATTCCACGTTGCTTAATTTATAATCATGCTTGAACTTCTGATCTCATGCACAAGACCGCATTGCCGAACGTCAGCCCAGGCCTTCTGCGCCTGGACCGGATGAATGGCTGGATGGATATGGCTGTACCCTTTAGATCGGGCGGTGGCTAGCGCCACCAAGCCGTAATATCTAATGAACCAAAAACTATATTTATTTTTTTTTCCTTAAAAAAGAGTTTGAGGATTCGTACTTTGCAGTGAAGAGTTTAATTTTCACTCGCGCCTTGACTTTAGCCACCAATCAGATAACCTCCTTCTAGTGAAGTCTACCCGCTTAAAGTTTATTTTGCCCTCCCGGTCCCTAAACCCCAGTGCTTTGAAAAACTCTGCGCCATCATCCTGAACTATAGGGTGAACCACCTTCTGCCGCAGAGCGCCATCTGTTGAGTGCAGACAAAACCGTTTTGCTTACGACGCCACACAAGCACAGCGGCGTGAAAACGAGGCAAAAAAAATGTCCCGAATCTACAAGCTACACTGTAAATGATGTCGAAAGGCGCTAGCCTTGTGCCAGGAGAGAGTGAACAAAATGTTTATTTGATGTTCTGCGCAAGAATATCGGTGAATGGTATTCTGAAGGCGCTGCGTTAGAGTGCCTAGAGCGTGTAGTGGAGGCAAACAAGCGCATCTAGGCACGTTAAACACGAGCGCCATCTGTCAGTTATCTTCGAAAACGAAGGCGCGCGCGACCATGGAGAAAGATGCTCGTCAGTCTCGGAGGTGATAAGGTGTAGAATGAAAAGTGACGGGCAGGTGCCACCACCGTGTCGTCGTAGTAAAGCGTTGAAAACACCTCCTTGAGCATTGCATTGCACTGTCAGTGTAGCGCGATAAACGCTGCATTCCTTAGAGTTACTTGTGTCGGCCTCTTTTATTATAAAGGCAGACATATAAAACATGGACATGTTGTTATGGCGCCTCAGATATGCGCAATATTTGCTTTTTTAATTGACAATCGCACCACTATGAACACTAAACCTTGAGCAATATTGGTGGGCGCTGCAGATGGGGTTGGCCGTTTGGTGCCGTTTCAGGTATCGTTAGGGCAGACAAACAGACAAATGTCCAGACAGACAGACAGACAGACAGACCAAAATTTTCCTGTCGAAAGTCCCCCAAGAAAGACTATCGTCTTTAAAACAAAGTGCAACCGCCCCACTGTGACGTGCACCCGCAACCACGCAACGTGCGTGCGTTCCCATCCGACGCTGCGTTTTTGTTGACGATCGACTGGTATGCTAGTGACACGGCCATTCCTGAACCTAAAGTGGGTCAAGCATGCGCTAGAGCATGGGAATCGAGCAGCTGGATGACACTTTCAGCGTCGATCCATGCGCATGAGCCTGTGAACGCGCTATCGCACAGCTGTGCTGCACATGCTGGGACACTTGCTGTACGTAAGCGGAGAGCCAAGGTTACTAGATCGTGTCAGTTGTGAAACTGCGCCTGGAAGCGGCACGAAAATGTGACCCTTTGCCGTCTCCTCTCATGAAGTGGCGCTGGCGATCGACCCGATTGCCTACATTGAAGACAAGGTGGAAGCCAGCAATGCTTTCGCTCTCGCCGTGTTTACCGAAGCTCGTACGACGAACCAAGCTTGTCAACTAGCTTTAAACGTTAACGCAAGCCTTCCGACACAAAAAAACAGCTCAGAACTTTTCTCCGACAATACAAGAAGTATTTTTCATCTTCGTCGAAAATTCGACGGACCCTGGTCGTAAAACATCGCATCCTAACTGAAGAAAGTGCTAGGCCACTCCGTCAGAGCCCGTAGAAGGTGTCGACGCTTCAACGCGACGCTATAGAAAAGCAAGTCAACATAATGCTACGCGACGACATTATCCAGCCTTCAAAGAGTCCTTGGGCGTCCCCCGTTGTGTTAGTCAAGGAGAAGGACAGAACCCTACGCTTCTGCGTCGACTATTGCCGCCTGAACAAAATGACGAAGGACGTGTATCTTCTCCTTCGGATAGACGACGCCCTGGATCGACTTCACAATGCGAGATACTATTCTTCGATGGACCTCAAGACCGGCTATTGGCAGGGTGAATTCAACGAGTGACACCGAGAAAAAACTGCATTTATTACATTGGACGGCCTGTTCAGGTTCAAAGTCGTGCAATTTGGTCTTAGCTCGGTACCCGCGACTTTCTAACGTGTTATGGGTTTAGTACGGGCTGGCTTGAAGTAGCAAACTTGCTTTGTATACCTAGACGACATCGTGGTGTTTTCCTCGAACTTCGACGAACCCCTCCAGCGACTTGAAGCTGTACAGCAGGCAATCAAGAACTCTGAACTCACCCTCAAGGCCAAAAAGTGCCACTTCGCATATGAGGAGCTTTTGTTCCTGGGATACGTGATTAACAAGTCTGGAGTCCGTCCCCATCCGCGGAAAACAGCCGCCATTGCTGACTTCCCGCCGCCCACTACCAAGAAGGCAATCCGCCGATTTCTGGGCCTGTGCGCCTTTTATAGGTGGTTCGTCAAAAACTTCGCCAGCATCACCGATCCACTCACTAACCTTGCCAGGGCCGACATGAAGTTAAAGTAGGAAACGCCGCAGGAACACGCTTTCAGGAGCTAAAACACCGCCTTCAGACGCCTCCGTTACTTGCCCATCTCGACGATTTAGCCGAAACAGGATTACACACCGACGCAAGCAGTGTAGGACTCAGCGCCATTCTTGTGCAGATGACTAACGGACTGCAAAGAGTCATCAGTTATGCTAGCCAGTCGCTATCGAAGGCAGAGGCCAACTATTCTACAGCAGAAAAGGAATGCTTTGCAATCATCTGGGTTACATCGAAGCTCCGCCCCTACCTTTACAACAGACCTTTCAAATTTGTGAGTGACCACTACGCCTTGTGTTGGCTAGCTAACTTGAAACACCCCTCAGGTCGCCTCGCACAGTGAAGCCTAAGACTTCAGGAATTTGAAGTTACCATCGTTTACAAGTCTGGAAGAAAACACTCCGACGCCGATTGCATGTCTCGTGCCCCTGTCGAACCACTGCCAAAAGACGACCCGGACGACGACTGCTTCTTAGGAACCATAAGTGCCGACGACATCGCCGAGCGGCAGCGAGCTGACCCAGAACTCAGGAGTCTTGTAGAATACCTCGTGGGTAATGAATGGCACCGTTGTCCCAAAGTATTCAAATGAGGAGTTGAGTCGTTTTTCTTGCGGAACGGCGTTCTCCTGAGGAAAAAAACTGGCCCCGTATCTGCATGTTGCACCGCAAATGTCTTCGAAAGACGATATTCTTGCGTCTGGAGAGAGTGAACAAAAAGTTTTTTTTTGATGTTCTGTGCAAAAAAAAAACTCAGTGAATGGTATTCTGAAGGCGCTTAGTTAGAGTGCCTCGAGCATGCAGCGGAGGCAAACGAGCGCATCTAGTGACGTCACACGTGAGACATGAGCGCTATCTGGCTGTTATCCTGGAAAATGGGGCGCGCGTCGTCCATGGCCGTCTCTGAGGTGTTAAGGTGTCGAACACAAGGCGACGGGTAATTGATTGATATGTGGGGTTAACGTCCCAAAACCACCATATGATTATGAGAGACGCCGTAGTAGAAGGCTCCAAAAATTTCGACCACCTGCGGCTCTTTAACGTGCACCCAAATCTGAGCAGACGGGCCTACAACACTTTCGCCTCCATCGAAAATTGAGCCGCCGCAGCCGGCATTCGATCCCACAGCATGCGGGTCAGCAGCCGAGTACCTTAGCCACTAGAACACGGTGGTGGGGCAGGCATCGTGTGTAGGTTGGAGTCAGTAGTAAATGGATCTGTACAGATTGAGATAATGAAGACAGTAGTTTGCTTTGTGGCAGTCGTGGAATATTTTATAAAAGGAAAAAAATACTAACAACTTAGCACCAGTCGTCCTAAACTTTCAATATGCATGAATATTTGATCGAAACTGCTTTAGCTTCGTCCTCAAATGTTTAGAAGAGGCGAAATGACAGACTTTTATTTTAATATGAAGAAGCGGCATACCTATATTCATATTTGCGAAACCGGATGCCGTTTTTTTTCGTTTACAGATGGGAGGCTGTTTTTATCGGCAGTTTTTTTAGATAAAACAGACGGCTGAAATATTTTTGTAGGTTCCTAGAATGCTGCGGAAATGAGGTTTAGAGCGCGACGCACTTTACATACTTTATCTGGCAGTGGCACTCCTTATCTGGCAGTGACAGACATCGTGTGCTCTATACGACATACAGGGCTTCAAAGCTGTCGCGACACTCCGGGCAAACTTCCTTTCATAGGAGGATAGCCGACGATATGAATGAGACAAGAGTCGCCATGAGTTCGCCATCGGCAGCACAGAGTGACTCCCGGGTTGTCTTGGACGTACAAGGCTACATTTACTTTGAACGCCACACCAAGAAAACAAATATCGACGTTCTCAAGAGAATTCGCTTCTTTGGAAAACCACGTGATGGTCACCGACATTTGGACATCGGGTGCGGGCCAGGAACCTTCACGAAAGACTACCTAGTTCCATTATCTTCGCCTTGCAAGATGCTCCTGGCCATAGAGAATTCTCCATCGATGATAGATTTTGCGAAGGAAAACTCGGCGCACGACAACATACTGTACCGAGTGTTCGACTTCGGCGGCAGTGATGCCACGGAACTGTTGAATGCGTACGGGCACTTTGACCGCATCTACTCGTTCCTCTGCTTTCACTACGTGAAAGATGAGCTGAAAGCCTACAGGGACATTGCAAAACTGCTGACTCCACAGTGTGGCGAGTGCCTTGTGACATCCGCAATCGCCTGCGAGCCTGTTGACGCGTGGCTCCATATGCACCTGATGGAACGCTGGAGAGATGTTGTTCCCGTGAGTATTACAAAACTTCACACGTAAGAAACTTGAAAATAGCTTTCGTGCATTCGTATGCTTTCTGTACACTCTCTTGGTCACTCTTGTTTTCATGGCATGCGTTACTGTCCCCTTCTGTTCACATGTATTGGAACAGCTGTTCAAAGTGCAAAAACTGTGCATTCAAACACGGGCCTATCTGACCACGCTGCTTCTAGAAACTTCCTGACTATTAATCATGAAGGCAGTAATATTGGTTCGGAAATCAACATCGATATTCTACACATTGTGATTGGGAAAATCAGTCAACATGCCTCGCAACGCCAGAGTGCTTCCTATATTTTCAACCCTCACCATGCGCTTTTTTTACCAAATAATCAGGCATAATTCAGGCCGCAAATGTAAAATTTATGTTGCGGGATGATTTTATCCCGTCAGAACCCAGGAGGACACTTTAAGCTTAGATATTGTCTACGGCATAAACATGATGCTGTCTGTAACATAATCAGCATTTCTTGAGTCAAATACTCGCTTTCCGACTGAAAGGACAACGATAATTACTCTAATATATTAAATATCAATGTTCCTCACTTTTCTCACACGATAACAGATTCCGGGAGGGAATGGCACTTCGTTTATGGCGCTTTTAAGTTCTGATCGAAAGTGTCTTGCAATCGCAGTGTATGAAAATAAGGATGAATCAGTAAGTTAACGTAAGTATAGAAGGGCCGTAACGAATTCACTTTCCTTCTACGCTTTAGCAACATGCTCAATCAATGTGAATGGCGAGAAAGGAAGTAAAAAGACGACATCCATCGTATTAGGAGTATTCTAAATTACCAAGGGCAAAGCCAAGTATAATAAAAATGTGGCATTCGAGATAATTTGGTGTGCACACGGGAGTATGCTATTGGCTCTCTTATCGCTGTCAGCAAACGAGGAAGAGCGTGTGCACTGTGTCTGTGTAACGTTGCTAGTTCAGCATACATAATTCGCCTTTGCTTGGGTTTAGTTAGCTAAAATCATGTTGGCTCATAATCAGTTTGATGCATTTCGCTACATCTCACTGTTATCAGCCATATTCAGCATCTGGAATCGGTACTTGCACATCTATTGGTGTCCCTTGATCACGATGATACGCATGCTTCTGAAAGAAATAACAGAATTGCTAGCAAAACTTACGCAATATGCTGCAGTTTTTTTTTCTCCAAGCCAGCAGCAGAACTGAAAACTTCCCCATCTGAGAAAATGCCGCATTTCGCATCTAGGCTTACCCAACAAGCCCTATATGAAAGAAAATCAGCGTACATTCAAGATCGACATCCTGCACCTTCGCAGGTTTTTAAGTGACGGTGGTCATCCCACGCCAGAAGGACCACCCTCGTCCCACTACCCCTGTTTGTTTCACTATAGTAAGATGCACTGAGATGTTGACCCTGGTTGCTCTGACGGCAGGGAAACCTTTTATTTGATTGACTCATATGCTCGGGCGATGTCCTGCATCACTTAACAACTTTCTTCCAAGTAAATCCGAATGGCAGGATGTCATGAGAAGCCCGGTACTTCGAGAGCAAGCTCAGGCTACCCTGAGCGCCAAGAAAACGGTGGAGCTTCGTTGCGTTATGTTTTCTAAGTGGGCGCAGCCAGCGGCTGCAATATTTTCCAGTTAAGTGGTTCATTTAGTCACTCTTCAAGATTAATTTAAACTTGACTGTCTCTCAGTCTCTAGAAAGTTGCATTCGCCTGACGTTAGTCATTCCAATTTTTAAGTGGACAGCTGAAGGCAAGAGATCACTAGTCCTGATGCTCACCTGTATTCAATTTTTCTGTGTAACTGATTATGGAGTGTATACAAACATTACACCAAATATCGAGAATGCAGGTTTTTTTTTCAGGATCCCAGACCAGTTTACTCAAATCAATTCAGGTTTGACTTGGACAAGAACTTGGCAGACGCCGAATCTGAAATACGATCAGTGGTCTCAGAAGCTGGACTGACATGCAACGAATGTTATTTGTTTGAGACGGAATGGCTATTCCCTGATGTCAATAGTTGTGTCGGTAAGTATAAAAAACGTTCCACCTCTCACTAAATTTGCAAAATAGGCATTCTCGCATACTTGACCACTGGACTTCGTACTATTTTAGCACACTTGCTAAGCAAAACGGAGAACCGAAGAACGACAGAATCTCAGCCCTAACTTCCGAGATTTCATTCATTTTTGAAGACATCACATACGTAAATGTTTTGTAAAGCAGCCCAGGCAGCTGCATTTATGAGACATTTCCATCCTCGGTTTTGTTTATTATTGCACGCGGAAATGGTAACAATGTGCAAAAGGGTAAAGTGCATAACCAACATGCCCGAGCCTACGCCGCGTCACGTTTACCATTTTGTTGTTTTTTTCCTGCAGTCGATGATCAGAAAGAGAGGTTCGTGAACTTTGACACTTACCAGGGCTTATTTATGTCTCTGATGAAGGAAAGCCATTTCTACCACACATTACTTGACAATGTCCGCGTGAAACATCAAATCCCCACCGCTCCAGGAGGCCAATTTGCAAATCTATCTATCTATCTATCTATCTATCTATCTATCTATCTATCTATCTATCTATCTATCTAGCTATCTAACTATCTATGTATCTATCTATTTATCTATCTATCTATCTATCTATCTATCTATCTGTCTGTTTTCTACGTCACCGCTTCGGATCGATTTCCACAGTGTGGGATTGGCCGAAAATAATTCACCGTAGTGTCAATATGCATTAGAACTTTTTACAACAAAAAATGTTATGAGATCACTGTTACAAATAAAGAAAGAAGAAGTGAACCCGGACTCAATCGTCTGGCTACAGCGAAGATCAAAGGAACAACTGAGCGCTTGCTCGCCAACCCTTCTTATTTATTTGTAACACACTCCCACGGCCAGCAAATCTGCCAGGAAGTGTTACGCAGAGATGATGAAGAGCTATAGAGACGGCGATGAAACTTGGGTAGATGGTGGCTTGTCTTGCGGAGAAAGCCGTCCATTCAAGCTATAGTATTTGGATGTCTTCGCGGTGGCATTGTTCGATATCCTTAATGTTCCGTCCTGAGACACGGTGCGCTTGCTTCTCTGCTTGGCGCTGCTGATAGCGTCGACACGATGCCGAAACTCACACTGGTGGCTTTTTTGCTTCTTGTGTTGCTTCTTTTAATACGATGGGTCTGACTTTAGTCTGCTTTTGTAGACTCTGAACACTTCCTGGTAAGCAGCGTTATCCTTGGGTTGTTGTTGGTGTTTCATGTGAAGCCTCTGCAGGTGCTACGTGAATACGTTCTGCTTGACCGCTTCGAGTGTCAAGTGGTCCTGATCGTGTGCCTGGCTTGCAGGTGCTTCCAATCTGATTGAAGACTACGAAATCGACGACGATTCTGTTCCTCGCTTGAAGAGTACGACGATGATGCTGGAGCGTTTTGGTTCCATTGGGCAGTGACGTCGCCAAGGGCGGGAATCTCTGCTACGTTCGGATTCAGTGGAGGTATTTCTACGTGCTCTGTGGCCCGTAGCAGAATGTCAAATGTCGTGCCGGCGTCGGGAATGATGGCGCACATCAAGCGGACATTTTTCGAGTGCGTGAGTCTGACGAATGGCGGCAGTTTTGGAGTCATCGCCATAGACATCACAGGAGGATTTTCCAGACGACTGGTCCATCACGGTGTATCGCGCTTCGTGTGAGTCCTCGTTTCCGCCGGTTTGCTGCATGAGGTGCGTGGCGTAGTGCTGGAGCTATGTGATGTGGCGCTCGCACATCTAGCGCAGGCCTCTGGCGTCAGGCGCCATCTTCTTGTGATGTTCGGTGGCGTCATAGACGGTCATGGGGTCCATGAAGCTGGTTGAGTGTGGCTCGTAGCAGCGCTTCCGCTCGCACTCGCGATCGTCGACTTTCCTTGGGCTTCAGGGAAGACAAACTGGAGACCCTACAGCCAGGATCAGTTCCCAGGCGCATGTAGGGCGGGTTGAAGGGTTCCACGTACTGTTGTTTCTGCAGCAAGTCCTGAAGACACACGGTGTCGCGTGACGGATAGTACAAGAGCTCGCCATATGAGTCATAAATGTAAGATGACTTGCCAAGCAGCGGCTCAGATTGCGGGAAGCCGGATCTTTGGAGTTGAATGCACATGGTGCACCAAGTGTTTTCATTAACCATCCAACTCTCCATGGCACAGCTTCCGAACGAGTCCTTGCACTTAAGTACCACGGATTGCGTGGACAGCTGACAGTTATTCCAGCGTGTACTCGAAACTCTTCAACTAGCGGGGATGGGTTCGAGGTAAGTTGCGTGTAGGCTTATGCGCGACAAACTGCGTAGCCTGGGTTAGTCCTGGAAGCGAGATACTGGAATGGCATTCGGGAAGCCTTAGAAGGTAATGTCGTGGTCTCCTGGGACGACGAGACGCGAGGAGTCTGTGAGGCCGTTTGCCGGCGAAGTCGCGGCCTGCTGCGACGTCGAAGAGAAAGAAGTCGACAGACCCGACGAATAGGAAGTCGGAGTCTGCTGCAACGTCGAGACGAGAGGGGTCGTGAGGGTGGTTGACTGTGGAGTCTCGGCTTGCTGCGACATCGAAGCGAGAGGAGTAAAAAGGCCGGTCGAAAATGAAGTTGAGGCCTGCAGCGAGGTTCGACAGACCAGGCGAACACGAAGTAGCTGCCTGCTTCGATGTCGAGGCGAGATGGGTCGAAAGGCTGATCGAAGACGACGTCGCGGTGGGCTTTGATGTGAATGTGAGAGGCTTACGGAGTGCAGTGGTATATAGTTACGGCAGCAGATGCTGGTAGGGTAGGCGGCCACTACTAGATTGCGCAGTGAGCTCTCCCTTGAGAGCAAATGACTTCGCCTTCAAAGTCGCTGGCTGTGATCAGATCCGCTTCCAAGTCCGCGTAGTAAAGGTAAGCCTGGATCTTCTCTTTCGAGCTTTATTAGGTGGGCGTGTTTCGCGACGATAATTGCAAGGAGCTCCTGGAGCCTGAAAGCGGAAGTCGTTGAGTCAGCCAGTAGGGCGTCGAGCATCGAATTGTCATTTGTGATGGCGGTCCGGTGGAAGCCACGCTGTACTCTGAGTTGGTCCATTGTCGAAGTCGAGGGCCAGATGACCGGGTGGGTTTCAGCACCAGAACGAACTGTGAAAAACAAAAAGGGGGTGCAGTGAAGTGTACGGAGATGACTCCAAAACCACCACCATTCGTCAGACTCATGCGTCCAAAAACGTCAGCTTGATGTGCGCCACCATTCATGACGCCCAGACGGACGCCCATAATCCGCTACCGGCCACAGAGCGCGTAAATTAACCCCCACTGCCTCCGAGCGCGGCCTAGAATTACGCCCATGGCGACGTCATTGCCTGAAAGAACCGAAATTCTTCAGCATTATTGTCGTCCCCTTCAAGCGAGGAAGAACAATTGTCGGTGATCTTGCTGTCTTCATGCAGCTCAGAAGCACCTGTGAGCCATGCACACGCTCAGGACCAGCTGACAACCGAAATGATCAAGCAGCGCATGATCGCACGGCATAAACACAAGATTCAGATGCAACACTGTATCCGCTCATAAACATCCCTCCCAAGGGTCACACATAGTATCAAAAAACCTCGAGAGTTCACGAAAGCATGCTTAGATCAGACTCTCATACTACAAGTGGCGCAAGAAGAGCAAAAGCCCTCAATATGACCCGAAAATGGCTAACAACATGACACCAAGTATTCTAGACATCATAGCAAGATTGTACGACTTCCCCGGCAAGACAAGCCACCGCCTTCCCAAAGCCTTTCATCGTTGTCGTGTAACAAACCCCACCCTTTAAATCGTTCGCCTCTTGCTTGCCAATGTCCATCACAACTTCCGCCGCTGTGCACCCAAACTTTGTTGCAATTGCCGGCCACTGGAGTGTGTTGCAAATAAAGAAGGAAGAAGCGGCGGCGGGCACGAGTGACGGGGCGCTGATACAGTGTCTAAAAATATTTCTAGACACTGTAGCGCTGGTTCGTTCAGTTGTTCCTTTGACCTTCGCTGTAGTCAGACGATCGGGTCTGGGTCCCCTTCTTCTTTTCTCACAATCACAGGACGGCTCATGAGCGGCACCGCAGTTGCCCGCCGCCACAGCCATTGGTGTCCGTAACCATTATTGCAGGAAATAGAAGAAAGAAGCTAGGTTAATAAAAAACACTAAGAAAACAGCGTGGCTAGAGCCCGGGTCCACTGCGTGGAAGCCCAGTATTCTACCCCTTAGCTACGCCGGAACTTCGGACTTGTTCGCAAACTTTTCTTAAGCAGGCTTGATCTCGAGAAAGTAATCGCGTCAATACGTGTATTTTAGAACAGCAAAGAAACAGTCAGGCGTTACACAATGCGAATAGCGTAGCGAGTGGGTCGTCAATTACTCCAACACATTACAAAAGCTTGTTCTTGATCACCGATTAACTGTGGCGCATACCCGCTTCAGGCATAATTTCTCAAGTCGCCAGCCACTGCATGAAATATTGGCTCAAAATTCCTTGCAATTGTTTAGCGGACACCACGCTTCTCCGAAGATTGACGAAGAATAGTCCATTAGGTGCCAGCATACTACCCATCAATTATGAATAATAAAGACGCACAAGGTAACCAGCAAGTGTGCTTGTAGCAGTTATTCAAAGAGTGCTAAGAAAAGTCTGTGAAAGTTCACTCTTCCAGCTTTCGCTGTGACTGTGCTGCGCCTTCCATGCAGGCTCGGCATTTTTATGCATTTCCTTGGTGCCTGCCCCTTCGATAAGACTGAGTGACATGTTAAAAGTTTGTTATGCTCACAGTTCAACTTTTTTGTCACAATAAACTCTCATCTTTCTCTCAACTTTCTGCCGGACATTCCAAACTGCGAATAAGAAAAGCTTGATTAGCTACGACACATGCTCAAGTGCGCCCTCTGTGTATGTCAACGCGATGTACACATCAGGAAAAATTTCACTCAAGTTTTCTTCCAATCGATGCATCAACATATGCAGCATGCTTAACGTCCCGCTCTGTATACACAATCTGCCCTATATTGGGAAGCTCAGCTTGTGAAGTTTACATTGTGCCTTCAGTATAGGTCGCGAAAAATAATGGAGCTCACTCAGACTCACTCATGCAATGTATCTTGCGCTCAGGACTCACTCGTACTTGATTCCCAGATTGTTTTTTGAGCCGGACTCAATCGCTCTCACATTCAGGAAAATATTTTTCAACTGAACTCACTCGGACTCAAACCCGCCAAAGCATTACTCGCCCGGATTTACTCAGACTAGCTCTCACTGTTCGATATGTGTCTGAGTCAATGCGAGTGAGTCGATTCACGAGTACAATAGCCTAAAGTTAGCGTTTCCGACCATGATGTGAATGTTCTTTAAAACCAATATCGCACGTAATAGGTGCTCTTCTTGGCTTCTTGTGATAAAAAGAACATATCTCTTGAGAGACACAACATGAGATCTGCTTATTGAGAACTCCTCTGGATAGCTTGGCAGGAGGGGGGCTAAGGCATTTCTCTATGTATTTCACACCTCTGGTGAATAAATACTGGAAAGGTTTATGAACGGTACTGATTTCAAATGCGTTTAAATAGACTTGAGTACAATTATACTACATCTATGTAGGACTGATAATAATGCTGAGGTTGACTGGAACGTAGGTTGGCAAAAAAAACCTGAACTTACTCTCCTTCTCTCAAGGAATATACCATTGTGCTTCGACTCACTACGACTCAGACTCAGGAAAATTTTCTTGAGCTGCCGAACTCACCCGGATTCATACTCATGGATATTTTTTACACTGGACCCACTCGAACTCAAACTGAACAAAATACTATTTACCCGGACTCACTCAGGCTCAAGGCTTGTGAGTCAATTCACCAACCTATTCCTCGTGTTCAGCTTATTACATTTTCCTCAATCTCTCGGAATCATACACCAACTATAGGAAGCTCCATTGGTGCCAGATTATACTGGTCAACAACAAATTTAGTTATTCGCACCACTAGGCGAATTCACCGAAAGCCCTAACTAAACACTTCTTACGCTTTAAAGTATATTTGGTGTTTAGGAGAACATGAAACCTAGTTTTGAGCACAGATGTACGATTTCGCTAGAAAACACAATGAATCGTAAAAGTATTTTTCCCCTTTTACAGCTAAAGCTGCTATGAGATCACAACCCGGGTCACGCGCAGTTGTCCGCCGCCATCACCGCCGCTGACACCGCCACCACCGTTGTCCGTAACCACATCGCGCGAAATTAGAAAAAAAAAGTCCTAGCACCAAAGACACAGTGGGGCTCGAAACACTGGTCTCCTGGGTGCCAGCTCAGTATTCAACCACTGAGCTACGCCGGTGCTTCAGACTTGTTGGCAAACGCAGCACCAAAAAAACAGTGGGGCTCCAACCCGAGTCCGCTGGGTGCCAGCCCAGTATTCTACCACTGAGCTACGCTGGTGCTCTTGACTTGTTGGCAAACTTGACTTAGGCAGGCTTGATGTCGGGAAAGCAATCATGTTAGTACGACTTATAAAGCGTTTCAAAACAGTGAAAGAACAATCAGTCGTCGCACAATGCGAATAGCGTAAAGAGTGGGCTGTCCATTGCTCCAACCCATTACAAAAGCTTGTTCTTTTTCCTCTATTAACTGTGACCCATACCTACTTCAGCCATAATTCTTCATCGTCTTCGGCCACTACATGAACGATTGGCACAAAATTCCTTGCAAGTGTTTAGCGGATACCATGCTTCTAAGAAGAACGACGAAAAACTACATAGCTAATGCCGGCCTACTACTCAAAAGTTTACTATTAATACCCAAGTGGGTATGAAGCTGGTGTGCTTGCAGTAGTTACCCATCGAGTGTCGTGAAAATGCTCTGAAAGGCCACTCTTCCGGCTTTCGCTGTGACTGGGCTGCATACCTTTCATTTTATATTTGATAACAAATAGAGATCGGGCTCGGAGACGTGTTGACATGTACATGAGGATGAAAAGAAATGCGAGTAGAGTGAAATCTGCATTTCCTGCTCATTTAACATTTATTTCGGAGTGTTTCTAGCTTGGACGGTAACAGAAGGCCACTGATCATTAATTATGTAATCAAGAAGTATTTCAGCCCTGTTTTATCGTCTTTAAAGTCACAGCGTGATGAAAACAGAAAGCTGTGCTGTTCGCGTTTCCTTTCATAACCCTCCTCTCTTCCCCCTCCCACACATAGCAAGAAGAGTTTTACATGCACCTTATAAGAGCGAAAGTAATATATGTTCTAAACGATAATATTTGCAGATGCCTTTTTTGGTGTATCAGAGTTATTCAAGAGCGTTCCACCGACGAAAATCGATGACGTTAAGAAGGAGTGGGCACGCATCCTCAGCCAACGTTCGAAACAAACAGCAGGAGAGTTCGCCATGAGGACAACGTGGTACTGCGTTCATGCCCAATCAGCGACCATTTGAATGGGCTCTCCACGGAAGACAATATAAGCAAGAAACTTGCATTTGTCAAAAGTATGCACTTGACTTTTTGTAACTGCGTGGTGTCCATAATCAAAAGTGTATAAAACAGCGACTGGCGCGTAGTAATTACTAACGATTTTTAAAAATTTAAAGGGTTTTACTATCTATCTATTTATCTATCTATCTATCTATCTGTATATCTATCTATCTATCTATCTATCTATCTATCTATCTATCTCAGCTACTTGACGATGTCCTGGTCCTTTCCGTTAATTTATCAGATGATACATTTCAAATGAAGTAAGTTAGCCACACGAGCTAACGGTCAAAAGAACAGCCCGATACGCATGTATGCCAGGAAATGGGAAGCTAATGTAGTGTGTACCTACTCTGTTTGGTTGGCTGCTCTGTTATGCTGGTCGAGATATGTTTGATCTCGTGCCGACGTTGACACTTCATACATTAAACAAATCAGCAACAACTTTCAATTCAAGAGCACATGAACGATGAGTTAAAATTGTTGAGTTGTTCTACGAGCACTTTCTTGTATTTAGGAAGGAAGAAATAAACTTTACTTTGTATCCGGCGTGTTAATGGGCTGGGCTCCCGCCTAGGTGTCGGCTAGAAGGTCTTGCCTCCTAGCGGCTTCCTCGGCCCGCTGGATTGCCCAGAGCAGATCGTCGAGGGCTGAACTGAGCAGCACGGCCAGCCAACGCGCGTGGAGGCTGTCGGTGGAGGCCGCGTTCTCATTACTGAGTTTTAATCTCTGGTATTCCCAGTAGTATTGTTCTAAGGAAGCTCGTGCCTGGCAATCTTTGCATTTAGCGGTCGTGTAGATCTCTGGATACATAGCATGTACTAGCGCTGGATTTCTATAGGATCTGGTTTGTAATTGTCGCCATTGGACAGACTGTGCCCTGTTGAGCTTATGATGAGGAGGGGGTAAACACGCCTCTGTAAATTATATTGTTTCGTAATTTCATTGAACGTTGTCATTCAGTGCTCCGACTCCCAAACATTTCGAACTTCTGGCGACGGATCAACATTAGTCGTAGCCCGGAAAGTGAGTCCTCGAGCTACATTGTGTGCCACCTCGGTAGGGTTGATATCTCCCGTAGTGTCGGGTATGTGAGCTGGGAACCAGAGAATGCAAACGCATCTGTCGTCTAGGTTGGTTTTGTCTGTTCTAAGAATACGCAGTGCTTCAGGGGAGATTCTGCCATTTGCAAAGTTGCGTACAGTTGCTTGTGAATCGCTGATTATATACCACGCGTCAGTCTGCTATTTCTTCCACCGTTTCAACGCGACTCGTGTGTATTGTCAGACTGGTGCTGCATTGTTTCTTGTGGTTAACTACAGCCGCGACGAAGCAGCTTTTGTGTCTGTAACGCGCGGCATCTACGAAGACCGCTTCTTTGTGGTTTCCGTAGCTCTTTGTCATTGTCTTGGCTCTGCTCAGCCTTCTACCTGCGTTGGGCACGGGATGCATGTTTTCAGGTAACGGAGGCACTGTGAGCTTAGCCCGCACGTCACGAAGAATGTCGTATTTGGTGCCAAATTGTGTGTGGTAAATGATGCCTAATTTTTCCAGGATGTATCTACCAGTCTTAGTTTTAGAGAGGCGCTTGTGCTGTGCAATACGTTGCGCCTTTATCGGTTCCTCAAGTGTATATTGTAAACTCAGCTCCAACAGCCTCTCTGTATAATTGTGCTTTGCATGAGCCTCAGCCATTGTTTGTAGATTTTTCTTGTGAAGCTGTTTATTTCATTTTGGGGCGAAGCTCTTTATAGCGGCACCTGTTCGTCTCCGTAGCCATAGTGTGCAACAATTGTTACATTTTGACGTTCAAAGTGGTGTCGGTGGGAGATTTCTTCTGTGCGTTGTTGAACAATAAAAATAGTGCTCAATGTGCATGCCAATGGCTGCTAATGGAGAATGAGAGACAGGAGCATTCGCCTTTTAGTTAACGCGCACGCTGCAATTTCCATTAGCAGCCATTGGCATGTACATTGAGCACTATCTGATAGGAAAAGGTTGCTACATTATACTCGCTGGGCGTAACCTCCTTGGTTTTTGAAAGGCTTAGCGAGCGTTGGGCCGCAGTGCCATGAATACAGTGAACTAGTATATACCATGAAGTCGAGGTAATTAAAAGTGGGAAGTAGACCCGAAACGCAACTTGTAAAAAAGTGTGCGTGTGCCACCTCTCGTTTAGTCCTTAGAATGTCCGCTGGATGGCAGGTGCTTCTATAGTGGGGAATATATGGTGAAAAGATGCAAGATGCTCGTACTTGGAGTGTTGAACAGATGGACTGAACGGCCACACAGACAGATGCATGGATGGACGCATGAACGGACGCAGGGGCGGATGCATGGACGAACGCAGGGACTGGACGCACGAACAGACGCACGCATGGACGGGCGGATGGACGCAAGGACGGTCACACAGACGGACGCATGGAATGGACGGAAGCAAGAACGAATGGACGGACGAATGCTTCGCCCTACTCTCCATCATTCCGTGGATATGCTGCCAATTTTTTTCTGCTGCGAACCATCTATGGTATGCAGCAAACATACGTATTGTGGCTGATGACAAGCGCGTGGATGAGCTTTATGACATTTGCCTCTTTCGTGCCGCTATGCTTATTCGTAATTCTTTTGATTAGGCGCATCGTTTGAGAAACCTTCGCTTCAATATTGCGTACCGTTTCCCAGTTGGTGCCTTTGACTTCTACTAATAACCCTGGTACCCTTAATTTGTCGACAATGGGTATGGTGGGTCCATCTCACGTTTTAGGTTGTACGTCTGTGCAGTACGTGTGTGTCTGTGTGTTGTGGAGCTTGGGAGGTCGGCCTTTTAATGTTGGTCTATATAGTAGCAGCTCAGATTTTTCGGCTGAGCACGTGAGACCAGTTCCTTCTAGGTATTGATCTACGGTGTCGATCGCTTCTTGTAAACGTTGTTCAATTGACTCATCGCTGTCGTTTCTTACCCACAGAGTAATATCATCTGCATATATTGTATGGTGCACACCTTCTATCTTTTCTAATCTACTTGGGAGGCCAGTTAGGACTACGTTAAATAATATAGGCGATATCACTGATCCTTGGGGTGTACCTGCCCTACCCATAGATATTTCCTCGGATGTAAGGCTTCTTACAACGATTTTGGCTTGTCTATCTCGTTAGGAAGTTCCGGATGTAATTATACATCCGATTACCTAAACCTAAGTTACTGACGTGATTCAGTATAGCTTGGTGGTGACATTATCAAATGCCTTCTTTAGATCAAGCCCGCGAATGGCTCGAGTTGATCTGCTAGGGTCATCTAGGATCTCGTGTTTTAATTGTAGCATGGTGTCTTGTGCACAGGGACTTTTTCCGGAATCCTATCATTGTACATTGGAGTACGTTGTTGTCCTCTAGGTAGTTAGTCAATCAGGTCAGTAAGGCGTGTTCCATCACTTTATCCAGGCAGGAAGTTAGTGAAATAAATCTTACGTTTTCAAGCTGTAAGCGTTTGCGTGGCTTCGGTATAAGCACGACGTGTGCCGTTTTTCATTGCTGCGGCATGTGGCCTTGTCTCCAGCATTCAATTAATAAAGTCTGTTAATTTGCCAATGGACGTATCGTCTAGGTTTCTCAGTGTTTTGTTGCTAATGGCGTCAGGGCCAAGTGCCGACGTAGTATTTAGTTTGTGTAGAACTGCTCGTATGTCGGCTTCGTTGAATTCTTCATCAAGGTCAGCATTAGGCGCTCCTACGCAATCGGCGTGGGGTCATGGTGGTGCCGGGGATATGTATTTAAGCACAATTAACCTCTTTGAGAAAGTCTTTTTCTGTGCCTTTATAGGCGCGCAGAATTTTGTTCATATTTGTTTGTGTATCATTTTTGTGTCTTCTGGGTTTAGGAGGTGTCGAGGAAAATTCTACGTTTTGCCTAGGCTCAGTTGGTTGTCCATGGTGGTACAAGTTTCTTCCCATTGTTGGCAATAAAGCTGTTGTGCGTATTGTTCGATGTCCTTGTTAAGCGTGGCTATCTTTTTTCTCAATGTTCCGTTATGTTTCTGCGTTTTCAAGTGTTCTTGCAGCCCTTGTTTGGCTTCCCACATATGTATTAGCCTATACTGTCCGGAATGTCAAGCTTAGCTTCCGGTAGGATTTTTTTTGTTGCCTCTTAAATATCCTTCTTCAGATTACCTGTTCATTGCTCAATGTCTGTGATGCATTCTCTGATGCCCTCTCGTATATTTCTGAATTTAACCCAGTCAACCAGCCTAAGCTGTTTGCCCATGTGTTGGCTGGGCCCTCCAATAAGCTGGATTTTAATGATAGCGTAATGAATCTGAATAACCGACGCTCTGCTGGTAATGAAGAAGACGAAAAGGATCGGTGGCTGTAGTAGTAGCTCGTGCTACTACTACAGCCACCGCTTCGTCCAGCTGTCTTCTTGGGTGGGCCAAGAAGACAGCTGGACGAAGACATCAGGTGCACTGATTTCACTTGAGAATCACCGTCAGGTCCGGCGAGCAAGAAGGCGATCGTTTCTTTAGTAGTTGGCGCTTTCGATTGCACGGCCTGTGAGAGGGGATAGGCCACACTCATCACCTTTGGTTCTTTATTAGCGGTAGAATTTCTTTTTGCTGATTTTTCAGGAGCCATCTATGCCGGTCTCCGGCCCCGGCCAGGGCTCGCCCTGGTCGGCCAGTTGCCCTGCTGAATCGGTACCACTGGAGTGTTTCTTCAAGAACGGCGTAAGCAGTTTGCCTGTCGCGCTTGTGCCCACTGATGATGGAACCATTCGGTTGAGTGAAACGGAGGTGTTCCAAGAAGAACTTCGCAACATAAGCGGTCATTTTCTGGACATCTCGGAGGTGAGGCGTTTCGGCAAGACTGGTATACTATGCAGGTCTTCAAATATTCAATGCTTGACAGACTTACTGGCCGCCACGAGATTTGCGTTCATTGCTGTTCGCGCTTTTATCCCCCCTCATCTTGCTTGCGTGAAGGGCATTGTTCGTGGTGTTTCAACTAACATTTATCCTGAAGCATTCTTAAAGACGGTCTCTCCGGCTGGCGTGACATCTGTCTACAGGTGCACCAGACCTGTAGGTGATACGCGAGTCCCTACTGAAAGCGTCATCGTTATCTTTGCTGGTCTCACACGCCCCTCTGAGCTGAAGGCCTGGCCTTATCTATTCCGTGTAGAGGCATTGACACCTCGCCCACTGCAATGCCGTAACTGCTGGCAATTTCGACATAGCGCTAATGCTTGCAGGTCCTCATTGAGATGTGCGAATTGCGGTGGGGCACATGCCGCATCAAATTGTCAGGTAGACAACTGCAGGTGTTGCCTAAGTGATGGAGCACACATAGCCACGGACAATAGCTGCCCTGCTCAAGAACGTGAAACACGAATACTAGATATAATGGAGAAACGCTGTTCTTCTCGGTCTGAGGCAACTTCCTTCATTAAAGAGCGCGAAGCGGGGTACGCTGCTGCTACGTCACGCCAGTGTGGGTCAATTGAAGCGACGGTCGCTTCCGCAGTGTCGGCAGCGAGAGATAAGGCCATGCC